AGAGTGAACTTCCTTGTAAAATAAAAACTGTTCCACGGATCCCTTGAAAACTGAATCAATAAGATTACCTGCAATAATCATACTTTATTATAAATCAAATAATCTTCCCCTAAACTAAAGCCATGTCATGTCACATGCTTCCTGGTACGTGCTTTAAAGTAGAGGAATTAAGAACTAGGAAATATTATTTTTGGATTCAACTGTGCTTAGCCTTCAACAAAATAAAACATGGCATTCAGTTTTGCAGAATAAGCAATTAGGTTTAAGTTTTCTTTTTTAAGTAAGCCACTTGGCATTCTACGTTGGAATAGTTCAGAAGTTCACTTAAGTTGATATAAACACCCTAAGTTCTCATTCTCTTGTGGATTTAACTAAGCTTTGTTTTAAACATAGAATGTTTTGGAGAGAATATTTTACAAGAAATATTATTAATGGGAGTATTCCTGAATTTTGAAGAAGTTTGATAGTAGTCACTTTCCTGGTGGTTCTCTCTCTGTACAAATCCATACTAAGTTCACATTGAGAAAAGAAACACATTAGGAACTTTTATTTCATCAAGCATGTGTAGCATGATGGAAAGAGTTCAAAATTTGTTAGAGTCCTAGTTTTATCACTTTCGGCAAGGTAATGAACATTTCTGGGCCTCATGTACCCCATCTGTAAACTATAGAACTACTTCTTATTGAAGAGTTATTGTAAGGATTAAATGAGGTAATGTCTATGATAGCATCTGGCACATAGCAGGCACTAAATAATACCTCTCATCTCTCCTCTCCGGCACCTTTATTCTGTTTAATCCTACCTCTCCTTAACTAACATATTTGGCACTCGATTCAAGGTGTAGAGAAGAAGTCTTTTAAATCTAGCAAAATTCTACTAATTCAGAGTAATTAAGGCATAGTTTCTGGCTATTATTTTTTGGAATTTAGAATATTTTATGAGGATTGGAGCATAGCACTTTATAGGAGCCAGATTAACAAAATGTTACCTCGTACATTTGCTTTAATGATTCTTGTGATGATAGTAATGTTTAGAGATGGGGAAAATAAGCTAAATGGGAATTAAAGGTATTTTATATCTTTTTAGATTTTTGAATCTGAAAAAATCTCATCACTTTTACAGATTAAGGAATTTTTTTCTAATTTATTTAAACTACAGTGGTTTCTCCTTATCCATGGGGAATACATTCCAAGATTCCCAGTGGATGCCTAAAACCAGGGGTAGTACCAAAACCTATATATAATTTGTTTTTCCTGTATATACATACCTTTCACTTAAAGGGAGCACTTCACTTCTCCTTTGGAATATCCAAAACACTACTTTTGCACTTTGGGGCCATTATTATATAAAGTAAGGGTTACTTGAACACAAGCACTGAGATACATTGATAGTCAGTCTGATAATGGAGAGGGCTAAGTGACTAAAGGGCGGAGAGCATTTACAGCATGGATTAGCTGGGCAGAGGGATGACAGAGCAGGATGGTGAGAAATGCATCATGCTACTCAAAACAACACACACTTTAAAATTTATCATTTTTTTTTTTATTTCTGGAATTCTCCATTTAATATTTTCAGACCACAGTTGACTATAGACTTATCTAAGTAAAGATCCAGATAAGGAGAGGATTATTGTAAAAAATAACAGGGATTTCTGAATGTTTCTGCTTATGTTAATACTTTTAGGAACAATTAGATCACTTACAGAATTTGCCTCTGGCTAGTCCAGTAGGAACTGGCACTAAGAAAGAAAAAAGCTGGAATTGCTGATTAAAGCATGGACTTTTAAAGTAGACTTTCCGGTCAGTTTTGAATTATGTGAGGAAATAAAAATATCCCATAATATTCTAGTTTTAAATTTATTTTTAATTTTTGTTTCTTCGTTTTATTTCAGAACTCTTGATGTTTCAGTGAGCTTTAACGGAGGAAAATCTGTTATCTCGAGCTCATTAGTAGTCACAGCCACAGAATGTGTAAGTACAAAGTTTGCATAAAGTTGCCTTTTAAAAATAGTTCTATCCAGCAGTAACTTCCGGGTCCTCAATGTTAAGCATACTATAGTAAAGAAGGTATATGTAATAAATGAGATCATTACAAGGAAAAATTTGTATAGCGTTTAAGTTATTTTGATCCCTGTGGCTGTGTTTAAAGGGAATTTTCAGATAGTATATATTTTATTTTGATATTTATAAAATTCATTTAAAATAAAAATAAGCTAGGAGAATGATTTCCAAATGAAGCATTTCTTCTTGAAATATTAAACACATGAACAGAGTGCTTTTTTGTAATGAAGGTCGCATTATAACATCTATATGACATTTATCCTGTTTTTGAAATTATTTGTGCATCTTAATGAATGAGCTATTGTTTTATCCATTTAACTGTTGGCACTTTCTCATATGATTAAGGAATTGATTTTGATAGCTTGATAATATCTCAGTTTGGAGCTATATTTTAGTGAGATGTTGATTTATATTACCTAACATGCAATGTTTTGAAATGTAAGCTCCCTTGATAAGATAATGTTTTCTTTGTAGTTAAAGTTTGGGGTTTATGGAAAATTTTTATATTAGATTGTTGTACATGAAAACAGAACACAAAAATGGACTGATCAGATGGCTATTATTTTTACAAGTATATTTTCTTCCTAAAAACATGTAAATTAAAGCAAAAGGGAAAACAAGCATGCATATGGGCCCTTGGTCGCTATGAATACCCTAAGGATAGCTCTATCAGTACCTGTTTCTATTTTGAAAATAGCTGGTTTTATTCCCCCTTTTACCTATAATTCATGTTGTAGTTTGTAGGTTTGGTGGATGTTGCAATCTGTAAGTTTTCTGTACCCTCCGGATGTGGTTGAGATTACAAACACTTGTGGTATAGCTCACTGTTCAGCTCACTGAAATGACATTCTTTCTCCATCCTTCTTCCTATTCTGCATCTCCAGCCCTCTTTTTTTCACCTTTTTTCACACAAGCAGGAAAACAAATCTTTTCTATATCCTGTAGCTAGCATGATTGCAGTGTGCATAGATGCTGAGGCTAAATGACTCATCTGGCATTTATAAGTTAGATGCCTTAAGGCATTCTTTCTACATCTTCCTAGTTCTCAGGAAAACATAATGTGACTTAAAGTGGTTTAAAACTGAGGTGAGCCCTGACTGGTTTGGCTCAGTGGATAGAGCGTTGGCCTGCGGACTCAAGGGTCCCGGGTTTGATTCCGGTCAAGGGCATGTACCTTGGTTTCGGGCACATCCCCAGTGGGGGGTGTGCAGGAGGCAGCTGATCGATGTTTCTCTCTCATCGATGTTTCTAACTCTCTATCCCTCTCCCTTTCTCTCTGTAAAAAAAAATCAATAAAATATATTTAAAAAAAAAGAGTGAGGTGAAAAAGAAAGAGTGAGGTGATTTCAGAAAAAGGGATATCAGTTGTGTCATAGATGGAGAGTGAAGGGACAAGCTGTAATATTAAATAAAGGATCAAAGCAATTTTCATGGAAAAGAGAGTTGAGAAAATATTTAAGGAAGGTGAGGGAGTGAGCCCTGAAACTCACTCAAGAGAGGAGTGTTTCATGCAGCTAGAACAAAGCCTGCAGTGGGACTGGGTCTGGCAAGTTAAAGAAGAGCAAGGTGGTTAGTTTTCTGGAGAGGAGGCAGTTGCGGGGAGTAGGAGTCTTGAGATGAGTAGGCGGGAGTGGAGGGAAGGAGACAGGTTTTGTAAGTCATTGTAAAGACCTGAGTTTTTCTTCTGAGTGAAACAGGGGGACTTGAAAGGTGACTGTTATGGCAATGTTTTAAAAGGATCATTCCAGCTCTTATGTAAAAATATACTTTGCAGGGAGGGTCCAAAGTGGAAACATGGAGACCGATTCTGTGGCTGTTTCCGTAATTCAATTCTAGGCAAAGGGAGTGTGGCTACACTATGGAGACAGCAATGGAGATGGTGAGAAGTTGTTGGATTGGATTTAAATATATTTTTAAAGATGGTACCCATGGAATGGATGCCTGGACAGATTAGATGTGGGTGTGAGAGAAAGACATTAAGAATAGTTTTAAGCTTTTTGATCTGAGCAACTAGGGTGAGTTGTCTTCAGGGTGAGTAATTTTTACAAGAGGACAGTGGGTAATATTATGAACAATACCTGGGCATTGTATTTCATTGAGATCCAGTCTTTCCGGCATATTCAGATGTGATAATTAGGTGAGAGGCACTTAGTGATGTTACTCATTATAAGGTGATACTTTGGGTTTTACAGGCATTTGAAAACCAAACAGAAGAAAACACCATTACTTTAGCAACGATTAGTTCTTGTGGTAACCCCACAGATACAGAAGCCTCTCTCTGCGCTCCAAGAACATCCGGGCTTAATCCTGTTAAGGCACTCATGTCACTGAACTGTCATTTCCTGTTTACGTCTGGCCTTTCTCAGCGGTCTTGAGATGTTGATGGCAGGGCTGTGCCTTGCTTGTTGCCCCCTCCCTTGCACAGGACTCATTCACCAAAATTATTTGTTCAACAAATGAATGAAAGTAGTTGTATATCTAGTTTAAATGTGGGAAATCTAAGGTTTAGATGAAAGAGATTTAAGACTAGAGCCTGTGGAGGGTATTTGGGCAGTCATTTCTTTTCTATCTCAGAAGGCCTCCTAAATGTGTCTCTGTTTGAAAAAATACAGTTAAGGGTGTCTTGACCTCTCACTTCCTTCCTATCCTCCTTGGAACCACTGCTCTTCTTCGGAATCACTTGGAATAATAATACCAAGAATGCGTTTTCTGACCATGTATTAAAAGCAAGACACTGTTCTCAGCACTATATATGAGTTAATCCCTTTATGACTTCATGTGATACTCAAAATTCAAGAAGAGGCGATTGGTTATTACTTTGATTTTACAGATGAGAAAACTGAGGAACAGAGAGCCGCCTTCAACTGTTAGTACACATTTATGTAAACATGTTACAGGAGTGGGCAAACTTTTTGACTCGAGGGCCACAATGGATTCTTAAACTGGACCGGAGGGCCGGAACAAAAGCATGGATGGAGTGTTTGTGTGAACTAAATTCAAAGTAAACATCATTACATAAAAGGGTACGGTCTTTTTTTTTTTTTTTTTTTTTTTTTTTAGTTTTATTCATTTCAAACGGGCTGGATCCGGCCCGCGGGTCATAGTTTGCCCCCAGCTGTGTTAGGAGGTACTTTTCCTGTTAGGTGGACCCGACCCTCAGCAGGGGCACATGGTTTGCTGCGCAGAACATGTGCTGATTTCAGCCCCCACTGTGCCGAGAGAGGGCGGACTTGGGACCTAGAGGCTCTGGAGGTTAAATTACTTGTTCAGTTTCCCAATTGAGTAAAGGCTAGACGTGAGACTTGAACCCAAGGCTGTCTTGCTCTCAGGCTGAACACCTGCACAACCTGCCATTTGTAGCCAGGTTCCGAATGGATTTTTATAAAACAGGTTGGTAACGTGTGTGTGTGTGTGTGTGTGTGTGTAAAAGTCAGGTAGTTAGCATGTCAGGCTTTGGGGCTGTACTGCTTTCGTCACTTCTACTCAACTCTGCCATGTTGTGCAAAAGCAGCTATAGACTTCTATAAACAAACGGGCACTGCTGTGTTCAACACAAATACGCACATTGAAATTTGAATTTCATGAAACACTCTTCTTTTGATTTTTTCAGCTATGTAATCATGTAAAAAAAATTTCTGAGTTTGTCAGAGATCTTATGAAATAAAATAGATGAGTTGATTTAACCTTTGGGCCACAGTTTTCTAATTCCTAATATGGAATATTCCAAAAGAATCCAGTAAATGAAATTATCACATACTCTATGACCCCCCAACTCTAAATTCATGGAGACAAAATTGTGGAGACCCATTTCCCCCTTTCTGTGTCTGTTTTATTTTTAATAAGGTTGCTGTGATTATTTTCTAGATAGATTAGAACTATTCATGGAATTTGGAAATTTTTGACTGATTCCTCTTTCCCATAGTTATTTTGGAAGTGTGGTAGTGACTCTGGTTTGTTTTTATATTTCTGTGATTCTCTTAGCTAGAATTTCAGTTATATTTGGCAAAGTTTTTGACTGTACATTATAACTTGCTTTTAATGAAGTAAAGGAAATTAGATGCAGAGAAAGTTAAAAAACGTAATGTATTCAGGATGACAAGAAACTCTATTTCTTCTATCCTAAGATCAAGTTCAATATCCTGATACAGCTCTAGTTAACCAGTAAACGAATTTTGGCCTCATGGCCTTGACCAACATCTGGGTGCTAAGTTGCTGACTGGACTGCTCAGTTAACTTGTATACCTTAACCTTTTTAGATATCTGAAAATGCTACTTGTTCAAAACTATAGTTAGAAAGAATTGTTCTAACAAATGGCCAATTGGAAGGTCATTCAACAAATGACCAATTCCTTCTGTAATAAAAGGAATTACTACTTTTTAGAAATTTGTGTTTCCTATCTCTTCTTCAGCTTTTTCAGGTGCTAGCAGGTCCCTCAAACTCTGTGCTTTAGCCAAAGTTGTCTTTTTCTTGTTTTTGCAAAAATCCACTAATTCTGCCACCACTCCCTACCTGGGCTTTCTTATGATCCTCAAGGAGGTCCTCTCAGAACCTTAGACCAGGTTAGCTCGCAGTTTGACATGTTTCTGTCGTAGTTTCCTTATATACTCACATTTGTAATGATTTTTTCAAGGTCTGTCTCTCCAACTAACCTGTGGGCTTCATGAAGACGTGTCTAACTTTGTAACTTTGGTACCTGTTTAACCATGTGCCATTGAAACAGAAGCATGCCCAACCGGAAGTGAGAGGCATTTAGGTTCTGCGTATGATACAAATCTGTGTTAGCATATCTAGTTCCCTTTGACTCTAAGTTTTCAGTTTGCAGCATGTTATCTGCTCATAGGAATGAAGTCTATCTATTTGACCTCTCCTTAATTTGTTTATAAAGTATGTGAACAATGAAATGACTTCC